ATGTGGAAAAGAAGACATGCCATCTAATGCGGAAATCCGATGATTAGATAATGAAAAGCATCTAATTTATTTGTTTCAGTCCACAATTTATCTTGTCTTATTTTTCTATTTTAATATGTCTATACATATATTTGATTTGCAGGGATCTTTCCGATAATTTATTTGATGGATCAATCCCTGAAAGCCTAGGGCAGTTAACAGCATTGCATATACTGTAAGGTCTTAAAGCAGTTGATTGATACCAATCAAATCCAAATAGAAAGACTAATTTTAAGCTGTCATGCTGCAGGAACCTAAATAGCAACTCTCTATCTGGAAGAGTCCCAGCCGCACTTGGAGGAAGACTTTTACATAGAGCGAGCTTCAAGTATGTTTCGCATTAATCTTGATCTAAGACTGTTGCAGGTCTTGTGAAATTTGCCACAAAATTCAACAAACGGATTCTTCTCCAAAAAGATATATTTAGAAGTTAGTGCACATGGGGTAACTTTTTCTTTTCAATTAAATTTCTGCAGCTTCACTGATAATAAAGGCCTATGTGGTATTCCTGGACTACGAGCATGTGGGCCACATCTTTCTGCAGGTGCAAAGATTGGCATTGCATTAGGTGCTTGTGTGGTATTCCTACTTCTTATTCTATGCTTAGTGTGTTGGTGGAAAAGACGGCAAAATATTCTTCGAGCGCAGCAGATTGCAGGTGATTACAGTATGCATGATAATCTCATTTATCCACTCAATAGTTGATCATTTCATAAACAATTTATTCCCGGGAGTAAGAACAGTTAAAATATCTCAGCACAACACTGGTAATTGACAACTATCTGACTTCCTCCTACTCTGTTGCTTGGGTCCCGAGGAAAAGAAAATTGATTCATAATTTTTAGTAAAGATTCATGTAGATACAGGCATGTGTGGTAGGTTTATGTTTGTGTTTGACACAAACTTATCTGGACTTTGTGCCGGTACAGCAAGAGGAGCACCCTATGCAAAAGCAAGGACCCACTTATCTCATGATATTCAGATGGCAAGGCATCACAATCATGGACATGCACGAACTGCAGCTGAGAATGGACCTAGCTTGTTATCATGATTGGCAAACATCACTTGAAATTGCATATATTCAAACCCTGCACCTGTTGCGTACCTGAGACTGATCTCTATCCCATGTTTTAACTTGGCTTGGCTGCTTTCTCTGAACTTGTGGTACTATCTAATGCTCTTGCCTTCCTTCAGAGTGGTGTTCCATCAAGGGCTTAAAGCTTAAAGAATCACTCACAAAATGTCAGACCCTAGTGTTCCATCAAGGGCTTAAAGCTTAAAAGAATCACTTATAAAAGGTCAGACACTTTGCCTTGGTTGCATAAACAGTGTAGAGAGAACATTTGTAAAATATTTTGGAATATGTTGTAACACACGTAGGAATTTGATCATCTTCCTGGTTTTATCTTTTATTTACCCTATGGAGTTAGAAGGATTAAGCTGTAATCTACTCAGACCCTACCTCCATAAAGGTCACATACATAGATCGGTTTACATGGATAGGAATGCTTTTAAGATTGTAGGCTTCGTATGGTGTATTATTTTTTTTCCTAATGGCAATCTTATTTCACCGTGCCTCCTATTAACAATTTATGCAAAGTAATTCTGTAGAGTGCATCATTTCTTCTCAGCAAACCAGATTGAACTAGTCGAATTAGCCTTCATATTCAGTTTCTTAATACAACCAATGTTTCTCCTAAAGATGGGTCTTTGATATATTTATTGTTATTTGTGATTGGTTAAGGTCCAATTCTAAATTGGAGGACAGACAGCGGTCCCTTGCCAAGAATCAAAGTTTTTCTTCTTGTAGGCATCTAATTCTTGTATGATTTTCGAATGAAAACATCTAGTTAGGAAAGAAAAGACTGTAAGTGAATTGCTGTGTTGACTATTGGCTTGAGTTAGTTAAGAAATTATTTTCCTTTCACTCTTTCAGAAAGTTATATAAGATACTAGAATAAAAACAGGAGTAACAAAACAACGCGAGCCATCACAGATCTAGTCACCTTCAAAAGATTTTATTCTCTCTCGGCATATTGTTTCTGCAGTGGCTTTGCCAGAAATAATTAGTTGTCTGGTTGTTCCTTTTTCTTTACACGCTTTTATATAGTTTGGGTTGGCCTTCATGCTCTTTGGTTTCTTAATAATTTAATCTATTTCTCTTCTTGAATAGTTTCATATTTTTAGAACACAGTAAATCTTTTAATAAGAGGATCCGATATCGAATGTCACCATTAGTGCTACCTAAAGAGTGGGTGTAGAAGGCCAAACAATTTGTGCATATATTACCTTCCATGTGTATGTGAGAGAAGATATGAACTTACTAACTTGGAGATCACAGCTCTCTAACTTAGACCTGTGTGCAATGCTTTCTTCATTTTTCAGTGTCCGGAACTTAACTAGAATATAGATTCTCCATGTGAATGTGCTATTTTCAGCTAAAAAAGCCATGTTTCTCGAAAGCGGATGTGGTGGTTGCAGGATGCAGCTCTCTTGTTCAAGAATGTCGTGCAACCAGTTATCATTCGGTAACTAGTTCCAAGATTGCTCGTGAATGTTCAGTTCCTACTACTTATTTGTCTCTAATGAAGCACTTGGCAGCAGAGGGATCATTGGGTCGTCGTAGATCAACTCGTCTGTGTTAATAAGCTTGCGCCCACCCTGTTGGTGAGTGGTATCATTATGAGGGACAATGTTGCTATGAAATTCCAAAGCCAAGGGAGTAATGTTGATGCTTTTAAAGAGGTTTTGTTATTCATTTCCCTTCTTTCACATGAGCCAAAATGGTAGTCAGAAAAATAACTCTTCAACTTGTGACACCATGAATCCTGACTTCTATGAGTAAATACCACCTCATTCAGCCATTAAAAGAAACAGAGAAGAAAATATTAGTTGTTTACTAATGCATTAAAATTTTTAGAACACCAAAATTAAGAAAATTAGAGTAATTTTTTAACATTTAGTTGAATATAAAATTAAAAAAAAAAAAAATCTTACTGAAAATAAAGTTGAGAAGCAACAGAACGAATTCTCATTATATTATTCCTAATTATAATAATTTGGTAATCAAATAAACAAATAATAAAAACACAAAAACCTCCATCGTCTAATAATAAATCAATCAAATCCAATTCTATTTAAAAATAATTTCCATTTATAAATAAAAAGGGAAAAATACCCCAAAATTACAAAATTATAAATAAATAGAAAATAATAATAATTCACGTGACCAACTCGTGTCAGTCATAAAAATCATCACCCTTGATTTCACGTTCAGTTTTTGAATTTTGGCATATTTACATAATTATTTAATTAAAAAATTTATTTAAATAACGGCTGTGCCAATATTATTCTAATTTTAATTTTAATACTCTCAACTCTTTCATGATTCCTATAAATAAATAAATAAAAATCTGAACTCGTTCAGGAAACCGAGTCAAACACGCCATATCTAATTTAACTCACTTACTTTCCTAAAATAAAAAATAATAAAATAAAAAGGAAAACTCAGAAACCGGTTCTGTCTCCTGCAACTCAGACACCTCCTACGCTACCCTCCACGTGGGGTCTCTGCAAAAACCCTACCATCCACTCATCATCCGACACGTTACCCCCTTCCTCTCCTCGTCTTTCACATTTTACCATAACTCCATTATTACCCTCCCCACCAACAACTTTATTTAATTTTTTATTATTCTATTTTTCTCTATCTGCCGTTATTTATATACTTTATACGAATATGAAAATAGTAATATATATATATATATATATACACATATGGTGAGCAGCGCCGTACGAGAGATGGGATAGGGCTTACGTCATCCACGATGCTTAATTTCATTGTCGTCACATGACCCCCCTCCAATCTCCACTCTCTGCTCTCACGTCTAATCAGGCGGCGGCTCTCTCTTCCTTTTTCCTTTTTCTTTTTTGTTTTAATATAAAAAAATAAAAACTTTTTCTGTGGGCCCCACTCTGTTCAGTACTTCCCTCACGTGTTCGTCTCCGGATAAATGATCACAACCGTCGGATTTCAGTTTAACCACGTTACGTAATCAAGATTTAAATCCGACGGTCAAGATCAGCTTTTCTCCCGTTTGTGTAAAAACGAGAAGTGTATGTCGTGCCGTCCAGCCGAGGATTACGGGTGACTCGGTGGGTCCCCCTTCCTTTTATACAGCCTCCTTCTTCCCCCCCTCCCAGGCCTCTCTCTGGTTTTTTCTCTTTAAGCTTTCTCACCCGCACTCTCTCTCTCTCTCTGCAACTTTTGGTCAATGGCGTCGTCAAGAGAAGGCCACTACAGGGGAGTAAGAAAAAGGCCGTGGGGAAGATACGCCGCCGAGATACGTGACCCATGGAAGAAAACCAGAGTCTGGTTGGGTACATTCGACACACCGGAAGAAGCTGCACTCGCCTACGACGGAGCCGCCAGGTCTCTCCGTGGAGCTAAGGCTAAAACCAACTTCCCACCTCCCGTCAACGGTCTCTCTCTCGATCTCAACCTCCCATCTGATCATCACCAACGTTGGGGTCCACCTTCTGCCTCTCATCACCACCTCCACCACCACCGTCTAGCTCTCGGCGACTTTCTACAAACTGGAGTTCTCAACTCCTGCGGCTCCGATACGTCGTCGTCTAAAGGAACCAACGTCTCTGTGCAGCTGCAGGAGGGTACTAGTTCTTCTGCGGCGTCGTATTTGGGGGTCGTTAGACGTGGGTTGCCTATAGATTTGAACGAACCACCTCCGTTGTGGCTGTAGGCTGTAACCCCCCGGTTGAAGTCATTTTACGGCGTCGTCGTTTTTTCACTTGGCAAGTACTAATCTCCGTTTAATTTCTTTAATTATTATTTCCCGTTTTGGTTAAATATTTGTTAATGATCATCGGCTAGCTTCTGGTTTTTTTCCCCTCATGTTCTGATAGAGAAGTAAAAATATCGAATCATTTCCAAAAAAAAAAAAAAGACATAAACCATCTTCGTGTGGATATGTAATGCTGCCCTTTTTCTTATTTAATTCTGTAACTCTTTGTCGTATCTATATATATATATATATGTATGTATATGAGGTGTATGGGTGTTTTAGTAGTTAAAAAATAGTTACGGTGATAATGGGTGATTAGTTATTGTTTATCCACCGTTGATTTCCTTGACCAACTGGTACTGTTGTATTCATCCCAGCAAATGAATTATATATATATATCCAGTGCATTATTAAATATTATTTAAAAATAAATTAAATAATTAAAATTTAAAGAAGGGTATATTGCTGGATGGGGGAGCAAGCGTGTGCATGTTAGTGTTCCATTTTTAGCTTCCTGCTACTACAACAAAACATTCAATGAATTCTATACCCACTCACTCGCCCCTACTACGCGTGAGCATGACGATACCACCCTACTTAAAATGACTATAATGCCCTTTCTCGCATTAAGAATTGTGTATATGCATTATTATTATTATTTTTTTAAAAGGAAAGAGGTAATAAATATATTTAATCAGAATTGATGACGAGAAAACTAAAAATAAGAAGGAATTTTGAGCCGCAAATATATCACTACAACGAGCGATAGTAGATGGATTAAGTCTTGATGATCGACTTAAGACTCACAATTGGGAAGAGTAGCCTGATCAATGAGGGGTGGAATAGTGATTTCTAAATTCTCTAAAAAAAATAAAAATGCATGCAATAACTTATAAAAATTGATCGCAATAAATGGATTAGTTTTTGTCGTAATACAATTGTGAACCTTTTTTAAAAGATTTAAAAATATTATACAACCGAATTCATAAAATGATGCTTTTAAAATGGTGGGTTGAGATTCTCACCCGCGGGTGAGTGATGTCTCCATTAAGACGGGTTAGTCTGGTCTGACTAGGTGGTGGCGTTGCCTCAATGGTCTCTCTTTTTTCTTTCGACTTTTTACCTCATAAAGTACATATTTCATACCTCTTTTTTAGATTTTTCTTAAATTTTTTTCTAATGTTATTGTATCTTATTTTGTAAGAATTTTTGAGGACGTCTATGGTGTTTTAATAGTGATTTTTCTACTTTTTTTTTTTTTGTAAACCTAGTCTTTGCTCCTGTCGTTGTTACTTATTCTTAACCTAATTGACTACATCCAAACAAAAAGTCTTAGATCTATTATGTGTTCAACTTCCAAATCTCTCTTTAACTTTTTATTTCGTTAGCCAACTTCATACAAAAAGATCATTAATGATTAGACCTCTTACATATGATGAAAAATCTATAGAAGTCAGTGGGAGGAATAGAAGCTTAAGTGTGGTATCGTGACTATTTAAAAATTTAGTATTTTATTTGAAAACAATGGAGGGGGAAAAATACTAAAGCAAAATTAAATACTTTTATACTGAAATCTATGGTGTATTTATTATTCATTTATGAAGTGTATGACTATAAAAGTTATATGGTGTTGTGCAAAGAAAATGAGTTATTATTCATTTCGATGAAGTTATTGTGGGGGTAAGACCATATTTTTCTTAGTGAGAATATCTTTTGATGTATGACATGTGGCATAGTTTGATGGGTTCCACCTCTGCATAGGATTATCAAACTCAATGCTGATTCATCTATTAGTAAGGATGGTTTGCAAAACTAAGGATCAAAGACCATGGCTCGGATGAAGAACTCTTATTTACAGGCATGTAACAAAGATTGACACTTGATTTGATTGAGTTTGCCAAAGTACAAAAACTCTATTATGGAATAGAATTAACAAGAGTTATAAATTTTAATTATATTATTTTGAAAGGAGATTGTGAGATAATATATAAGAACATATTTATTATCTTAATTCCCAATTCAAAATTTGATTTATTTATAGAGAATATTGATTGATTAAACGATTTTTTTTATGTCATTTAATTTATTTTAAATTCTTAAATATTGATACCTCTCGAGTCAATTATAAACTTATTGGGTTAGTGATGGTATGTGAAGGTTGGAGTAAAAGAATAACTTTTCCAAAGATGAAATAAAATATTACTATCAAGTTCAATAGAAGCTTACGAAGTTTTAATTCTTATTTTTAATTTAAAATTAACTCATCTTTAATTATCACCAAGTTGTCACAATGGTAAAACATGAAATCAAAAATATCATGGCTAAATGGAAGTCTCAATGGATTTCGATAAGAACTTTCTTTATTAAAATTTAATTTTTTTGATTGATAACTAAAAATAATTATCACGTAATTTTTTTTTTCTGTTCGTTCAATCAAATTTTATAAAAGTATTGTAATTAAGTTATTAGTACTAGTTAAGAAAATTTTAGATGCACCCAATGTATATTATACTTTAAAGAACTATTCATTTATACGATTTTCGTATCTTTTGAGAGTACGTTTATTTTTCGATTTCTGAACTTATTTAATATTTTATTTTATTTTTTTTTTCTATGGAGTGAAAATTTTAAAAGAAAAAAAAAATTCAAAGATAAATAAGATATCATAGTCTTGTGGATGTAATGGGTAACGAAAACCCAAGACCCACATTGTCATGTCATCCTACAAAACCCTTAAAGCTCTTGCCCTAATTTTTCTACATTTCATTTAATTGGAAAAAATAATAATTAAAAAAAAAAAAAAGACAAGAAAAAGGAGTCAACTTACTACTATTTGGCATTGAGGCCACAAAAGAAGTTCCTAAGTTGACTTCAATGATCAAATTATTAATTTTATTAACAAATTTTCCTTAATAAAATGTAATTATCTTTTAATTAATTGGGTAAGCTGTATTTTACATTCTTAAATCTATAGATTTCACTTTTTGTAAAATAAAAAAAAAAGAAGACGTTACGTGGGGGTCTACAATCCTGAAGAGACATAATTTAACTATGTCGGGGGTCCTTTATTGACATTTGCTAATTATGATTAATTTTTTTCCAATATTTTCTTAATTACTTAATTAATCTTCTTAAATAAATGTATATGAGTAAATGCCGGAAGCCTTTCTGGTCAACCTTTCCTTTTCGGGCTTTATTGTCAAAGGGAATTCCGTTTTGATACCAGCAAGCACTAATTATTTAGTTTATTTGTTAATTACTTTTTAATTAAATGTTAATATTTATATTTTGCTTACCCCCCGAAAGTTGTAATCAGAATAAAATGTAAGGGTATAAAGGTAATTTAGTCGGAGAAATAATACTCTGCTACGCAGATCCATGGAACAATTTTAAAAATAATTTAAATAAATATAAAAATAAATGGTGGGAAAAGAAAAGAAAAGAAAAAAAAAAAAAAAAAGAAAAAGCCACTTAACACGCAAGCTCGGCCTCACCTAACCCTATCGTCAGCAACTCAGAACTCAGCAGCCCTGCACCTGCACCTGCTCCCCTGCTAGCCAGCCGTCATCTCACAGATTTGACCCCGTGGTCCCCACAGTCCCCACTGTCTAATAAAATTTAAATTAAAACGATCTGAATAGAACACGTGTTACGGGCTCGATGCGGGACCCACTTAGATGCACGTGGCAGCCAAAGAGAAGAGAGAAACAGATGTGGACCCCACACATTCGCCAACCTTCACGAGCGAATCTGTCGGCAGCAGAGGCGTCAAGGCGGTCTAACATTTTTTCACCACGCGACAAACAAATAATTTATTTTTTTTTTAAATTCCAAGAAATTTTAAATGTTTGTATTGTCGTCGTACGGAAACTCCGTGACCCTGTCGGTGACTGCGGCGGCGGACCGACGTCGTTTTTCTAATCACTTTATTTTCTTTTTTTATTTTTTAATCCCAACGCGGGCTCGTTTTGTTCCCGGTTAACTTACACTCACGACCGTTTTCTTTTTGGCCAATGATGAGTAAACGGCGCCGTAAGATGCTTTCTCTCTGTTTCTTATCTCTCCTACAATTTCTTATGTCCACATGACATGTGTCCCTCATCATTATTATGACTAGTCATGCCCATCATCGTCATCAATGCAATTACTAATTCTAATTATTTATTTTGAAAGTAATAAATTTTATTTACCATTAATTTAAACTTTATAATTATTTGAGTCATAATTTTAAAATTAATAAATTAGTACAATGGAATTGTTGGTTTAAAAGCATATGAAATTCATTCGAGAGTATCCAAAAGGAGCATTAAAAACAATGATCGGACGATCTATTATGCCGTGAAGAAGTTGAGGAAGTCTTTGTACCTTTTCTCTGGTGGATTATAATAAATTCCTTCATCATCACGACGTCGTTTCGTGTTCGTTGCCTGATTAAACTCCTCCACATCTCGCTCGTAAACCAGTCTAACTCCACACCTGTAAATCTGCAACCCAGTTTCTTGTTTGACAAACGAGAAATCGAACTTCTTCAACACATCTTCTTCCCATTCTCCGAGATAATAATCATGGTGACTGAAATACAGTAACCAAACATGTTCTGACTCCACTCTCCCTGTATCTTCCTCCCTGAAATGAATCTGAGGACCTGGAAATATTGAAGTATTGTCTGTGTTCAACTGACACATGATCCAATGCATTTTCCCAGATTCATTTCTACTTTCATAATTCACTTTGAACACACAGCACAGTGCAAACCCCAGCCATTCTCTGTTTTTTCCCACACCCGGATCCACCTCTAAGCTCAAGCTACCTCCCTCGTACTGTTTCCCAAACCATTCTGGAATTTCACTTCCAGGGAAGACGATGCTAAATGTAGGCCTCGAATATGATATACCCTGCAACATGGAGAAAGAAAGTTTCTTTAACGGATTGAGCTGAATAAAGTTTCTTTAACGGAGAAAGAAAGAAATTTACGTACCTGGACATATTTTTTCAGCAATGTAAATAACATGCTGTTGTTGCTTTGGTGCTCAACCAAGCTCAAACAGTTTATGCATTCGATTGTTAGGTCTTCGGAGTTGCAGAGAGTCGATGGTTCTGGTAATTTTTCGAGGGAAGTACAGGCTGTAGTCGAAACATTTTGGATCTTTAATGGAAGTTGAGGGAGTGATTTAAGGCTCTTGCAATTCTGTAGGCCTAGATATTCAAGTTGGAGGAGTTTACTTATACTGCAAGGCAATGAAACAAACTTGTTTTTGCTCAAGTCTAATTCTATCAATGAGGGTAAAGAACCAAGGTCTTTGGGTATTGATCCTTCTCCAAGATTACAGTCACTTAAATCCAATCTTGTTAAAGAACGCAAACTCGATAATGAATCAGGCAAAACCAGATTGCAGATTGGAAGAGACTCAAAATCAATCAACCCTCTTTGCACCCGTTTGAGAAGAGAGAGCCAGTGCCAGGATTTGCATGGCAATCCTCTGCATCCACGGAAAGATAAGAATTTCAGATTGTCGAGCAGAAAAATGGAGGATGGAGGATTGATAATGGCGGTTCCGCTTATGTCAAGCTCTTCTAGACATTCAACTTGGCCGAGATTCTCAGGAACAGTTTCAAGTTTACAGCACCCAGACAGGTCCAGAGTTTTCAGACACTTCAATCCATGAATGGTGCTTGGAAGACTGACAAGGTTTCTGCAATTTTTCATGCTCAAAACAACTAAGTTGCTTAGATTCTCCATAGATAATGGAAGGTTTTCTACACCAGTTTCATCTAAAAACAGTTCTAGTAGGCTCTTCATGTTTTCTGATATCTCTGGGAATTTCTTCAGTCTTGAGCAGCCAGAAAGAATCATTACCTTAAGAGATTCCATTTCTATTCTCTCTGGTAAACTTTTAAGGTTTCTGCAATCTTGTAAATTCAAAAGGGTAAGCTTTTTGAGGAACCCAACTGACGGATGAATCTCTCTGAGTCTTGTACAGCTTTCCAGAATCAAAGTCTCCAGATCTGGTGTTCCTGACAAGTCTGGGATCTTAATCAACTCACTTGAGTAGCTCAGATCAATAGATGCCAACTTTTCCAAGTACTGATCTCCCCCCAGAAAAAGAAAAAAGAAGATGTTAATTTTTTCGAACACGAAAACCGATCAAAAGAGAGAAAGAAGGATTATACTGACCTTGATGCCATGCCATAGTTGTTCAATTCGGCTGTAACTCATTTTGAGTTCAACAATTCCATGAGCTTGGAAAGTTGAGGGCAGAGATTTAAGAGGGTATCCCTCCCATTCGAGATACCTTAATTCATCAGAAAGGTATTCGATCTCATCAAAAATCTGAATATTCGAGATTTTGAGCAGCCTTAGCTTCCTGAGTTTGGAGAAGACTTTACCACTCAGACATGTCTGTTTCTTAAGCAGCCTTTGCTTGCTGGTATTTAACAAAGTCTTGCCACTCAAATCTTGTTCTTCGTCGTTGTTTCCGTCATTGAGGACTATTCCTTCCACTCTGTCAGTTCCCTGCAAATCATACACAATAAACCTTCAAATGATGAATTGCATTGAATTAAACTAAAAACTTTTAAAAGGTTTAGGTAGAATTCTATACCGTATCATTCATAAGAACATGGTAGATGTCTTGTTCGTCCCATATTCTGCTTCGCTTCCCCGGTTCATCAATCGATTCTTTCTTAACAATTCTCTGTCCCATTTCTTGCAACAGATCATGCATACACAACCTATTATCACTCGAAATAGTAACGAGCGATTTATCAATTAAAACTCTTAATCCAATTACAGGAGACATATCACAACTCTCAAGAATTTTTATAAACTGATCTTTCTCCTTTCCTTTGAAAAAACAAGCAATGTCCAAGAAAACATTCTTTTCCATTTCTCTTAACCCATCAAAACTTATTCGAAGTCGATCCAATATATCCTTTTCGGGCTCATTTTTCAATCTTTTGACAGCGCTTCTCCACTCCTCAACACTTTTACCAGCCAGAAAAGATCCTAACACCACGAGAGATAATGGAAGTCCATCTGCATATTTCAGAAATTTCTTGGATTGCTCCGCGTAATCCTCAGGCGGGTGAATTGATCTAAACGCTTTTAAACTAAAGAGTTGAAGAGCTTCTTCGGAATTTAGTCCCTCAACCTTATAAACCTCAGTAACTCCATGTCTAATCATCAAACTTTCATCTCTACTTGTTATTATAATCCTGCTTCCTGGACCAAACCAAGATGTTCTCCCAGCTAATTTCTCTAATTGATCCAATTGACTCACATCATCAATTATCAAAACAACCTTTTTATCGCAAAGTCTACTTCTGATCATATCGATTCCATGATAAACATCCCAGATTGATATCTCGTTGCCTGCCATCGATTGACATAGAAGCTTTTTCTGTACCATAACTAAACCTTCTTTTTCAGACATTTCTCTAACATCAACAAGAAAAATTCCCACTTGGAATTCTCTGTAAATCCAATTATAAACAACTCTTGCTATCGTTGTTTTCCCGATCCCTCCCATTCCAGAGATTCCTATCATTCGAACATCATCTGATCCTAGATTTAGTCGTGAACTTAATTTATCTAGATGTGAATCCATTCCGACTAGACCTTCCAGACCACTGAATCTCACTGGCCTCACTCTTCTTGATATCTCTTTTGTGATGCTCTCAATAAATTCTGATTCTAGCCTGCAACAAAATATATAATTACAGCTTGAAGAATATCGAAATCAAACTCATCAGAAGCTGTAAATTTATAGCTTAGAAAGTCAGATTAATTATGATCTTAGATTATTTATTTGGATTGATATTTATAAAACATGTTAGGATCTTGATTATTCATTTATATTACTTTCTTATTCCTACCTGATATATATATCACAATATTGATTAAATATGAATTATATTACTGGTACACAATCAAAATCAAGACGCTGATGACAGTCAATTTTAGTTATAAAACATTAATTATGCCAATTTGTTTGAGCTATATAAATAATAATTTTTTTAGTTTGATTTGGACATATGCATATACATACAAATAATAATCATAATAATTAATATTATTAACTTAAAACAACATTAAACTACTCGATAAAAATTAATCATTAATAAATTTACCTATTCTGGGAATGCCAACCAGAGAGGTTAGCAGCTTCGGTCATGGCGGCTCTCCATCTTCTAACCTTGTTCAAGTCACCTGCAAAATCTTTTTCATGCTTCCAAAAAGCTTTCTCAAAACTCCCTGTTTGTTTCCTAACATGGCTTGGATCAACGTCGTAGAAAATGGGAATCACCAATTGCCCTCTCTTCTTCTTGCACTCCATGATCTTCGCCAGTTCATCCAAACACCACCTTGACATTCCATAGTTTCTCGAGAAAATTACCAGAGCAACTCTCGACTCCTCGATCGCTTTTATAAGCTCTGTCGCAATGGGTTTCCCGACCTCCAGCCTTAAGTCATCTCGGAAGGTCACCATCCCTTCTCTCTTCAGCGCACTGTATAAATGGTCTGTGAAGTTTTTACGTGTGTCTTCCCCACTGAAACTCAGAAACACATCGTATTTCCATTTAAATGCGCCCGAGGAAGAAGAGTCAGAAGAAGGGAAGCTCATCATTTGGGTGTTCTTGGAGGAATCTAGAGCTGAAAGTTTTTTTTTTTTTTTTTTTTAATAGCAAGCCTGGAGATAATCGAAGTTGGGAGAGGAGTAGCTTTTCACATATATATATATATATATATATATATGTGTGTGTATGCAGGAGATTGAGGAAGTGCGAGTGTTAATACATCTATATATATATACATGTATAAATTCAATGGTCAATATTTATTTTATTTTATTTTCCTTAAACACAATTTAGTCGTGGGGTGCAATTTTTGACACTTTCTATCTTTTCTTTCTACTTTCTAATTTGTAAAATGGTTTGATATTATTTTTAAATTCAAATAGAACCTTCTTAATAAAAATAATAATATATTTGATTCATTTGAGTGAGACTTATATACTTATGTAAAATTACAAAGTGACTAATCAATATTCCACATTATATATTTACAATGTTAGTTTGTACATATTTGATAAATAAAAATTATGTTTAAATCTTTATTCTAAACTATATTTCATTTTAGTTTTAAATAATTAGAATGAATAACGGATAAAAAATTCATAAATAAATTTATATTTTTACCAGTAAAACACGTATAAAGATGATATACTAATTCTATATTTATTTTGTATCGATATTTAGTTAGAACTTATACAACGTTGAAGTACGAAGTGTTCGTGATTGATATTTTGACTCGGTATTTGAATTTTTCAACTTAAATATTAGAATATTATTAAATATTTTCTTTCTTTTTTTTTTGTTTTTTTTTAAGAAAAAAAAAAGAAATCAAATTTTGATTTAAATACAAAAAAAAGGTGCCGCGTAAAGCCATGGATAAAGTCAAGTCTTATTTATTTATTATTATTATTATTACTGAAAAATTTGTAAATTATGAAATGAAATATTAAAAGGGAGAAAATTCATGTACGAACGCGTCAATCCGTACTGCTCTTTTCCTTCGCGGGGAGGGCGATCAATCCGCCCCCCACGCGGCTTTTTATTATAAATATTTTATTTAATTACTTTCTAAACTATAATTTTATCTTAAATTTTCTTCTCTTTTACCTTTTTAAATTATAATTTTTAATATATTTTTTTAAGATAATTGATTAAAATTATTTTTCAATTATTTCAAACACAACATTTTTCTACTTAGGATTGTAATTTTTTATATTTTTAAATATTTTAACAGAATAAATGATTTTAAATTAATTATTATGATGTTCTTAAAGACTAATTAGGTCTATCACTAATGTCTTCATGTATCTATCATTTACATGGTGAGATTTAGGAGCTTATATATGTATATCTATATTAATTGTTAATTAACATGCAATGCTAATACAATATTTTATTAGTTAAAGATTCTAATCATCTACTTAAATATTAATGAGTTTAAAGTTAATTGATAATATAAATTTTACTATTTTGTGATATAATTTATGTTGACGATGCCTGATGTATAATATTTGATTTAAAAAATTTAAACTTTATTGCATTACTGTGTTAATGAGATTGTGGTAAGTAAATTCGATTTCGTCCAACGAATTAATTATAATTTCGACAGAAAAAACATTCTGTTACAATAATATTTCTTTAGTTGTGTAAGCATATCAAATTAATACCCGATTTACACTTTTATGTTTTGAAAAAAATATTATTTAACATGTTGCGCAATTGATTTTAACCAAAGATTAAAGAAAATTATGCTAGGTAACGAGCATATATACACCCATATATATATATATGCTTAAATTGATATGTAATTTTATATGAATTACATATTCTTGTTAAAAAAATATAATACTACATTCATAAGTATATTTTCTAAGCTCGAAGTACTTTTTAAATCGCTCTAAGCACTTTTTCTAAACATAAAAACGAAAAAACATATCTCCTTACTTGTTGGATGGGTTTAGTTGAATGCTTCAAATCCTATGTGAAAAATATGAACTTTTGAAAATTGAATATTTTCAAGATAGAAAATCTGTGGTAGTCAAGTGATCAAATAAGCTTAGTTTGGAATATCTCAAGAAAGAATGGAATTCGTTTGGAAATGAATCTTTATTTCTAGAATATATTGTTATATATTTGAATAAGTTCACGAATTCATAGTATTGATAAAATTATATATATATATATATTAGATATACATATTTTAAGTCAAGCAAACTCTATAACATTATGTTTAATGTACGTCGCGACTTAACCCTAATGAAACATTGATCTTGACCGAAATTCAAATCCTTCTAGTTTGGTTTTCATTGAATTAATGTTATTTAAACACCAAGTACATTTGATTTTAATTTTCCAAAAGGAAGAAAATTTTTCGGACTTGACCCACTTGAATATTTTGGTACATGATATTTTGTATTATATATTTTTTTATTAATTTCAATTAATCATTTCCAAAATTAATTTATAGTCTAATAAAATTCAAATACGCTTCTTGGTTTAACGTTTTATTTTATTTAATCAATGATTAATTAATTTTTTCAAAATTATATGGCTAACACCAATAATTGAACATAAACAAACATGTATCTATATATTTATATAACACGCATGAAATGGTTTAGTTAGCAAATATTATTTATCAGAAAGAAATAAAAATGTCAAAGAAAAACAAATCAAAATTTGGACTCGTCAAGAGTATGCTGGCTGTACGTGGAGGTAAAAAAAAAAAAAGAAAATAAATTACAATTTGATATATTTTTGTAAAATATTAAATATATAATTTAATTAAGGATGTAGAATGATAACTTTTTTGAATATTTAATTTTGAAATCGTGACACTTAATTAATTAATTATATATATATATATATTTTTATAAACTTATTAACAACTAGCATGCACTAGGGTATTTAATTTATGGATATAATAATTTATGTAATAAAATATATTTGATTAATTTCAATTTGAATCAACAACTTGTCTCAATAAGGATTGTGATGGACACGTTAATTTCAGTAAGTCAATAATTTGTTAGGTAGAGAATTAAATTAAATTAAATTAAGTAAAACATTCACGTGAGTGAACATATAATTATGATTATATATAATTTTTTTCAGTCTTTATATTATAAAAATACAAAATAATATTTATTAGTGAATATATATATATATGTATATGTATATGTATACATAGTCTCCTTTTCGTACGCCTTCAAGATTGAATTCTAACAAACCGTGTCAGCCTTTTCTATTGGATGGTCTTTCTATTTTCCGAGCAGTAGAAGCTGAAAGGCTCTTGAGAGACTTCATTTTCTATTTTTCAACACAATTTGTAATACTTTAGATTACACTGGAATTGAAAATTTATTTTGACCTTAATTTATATTTGTTTCAAGTATGAAAATATAAAAAGTTAATTTTTAAAATGTAATATCTAAATTCAGAATTTAGTCCGGGATTAATTTTAATATTTTAAATATATAAAAAAATTTTATTTTTAAATTAATTTATTTTAAATTTTGTTAAATTTATAAAAAAAAATAGGTTAGAGATAAAATTGAAAACAATTTTGCGAAAAAAATGTGAAAATTTGGGTTCGGAAGTATTTTTGAAAGAAAAATCAGAAACTGAAGGTTAGAGTGCAAATAAGAAAAATTTTGCTATGTAGACCGACGAACCAGAGCGCACCGTGTGGTAAGGCGCGCTGATGTTGGTGTCGCGCAGAATGCCATGGGGGCGATAGGCGTGCCCTGCGATCGAACGACCCAGGATCGATCATGCGCACGTGGACGACTTGGATTTATTTATTTTTAAACGCGATCGGATGATCGAGATCAAATCGCGATGAACGGTCCAGATTCATTTCTTCTTTAAACGCGATCGGACAGTCGAGATCAAATACGATGAACGATCCAGATTAACGCGAAATGGATATAAATATTTTTCATCACACTAAACCCAAATCCTAACCGCCAGCCTCCCGCCGGAGAAGGGAGTCAACTGCCGACCGCCAACGCACCGGAGCCACCTCCGATTGCCAAAAAAAGTAAAAATTCTTCTACCTGCTCGGAATTCGATTTCGACCACCCATGTGGTCATATCAAAATGAACGATGGTGAGCTGAAAATCGCGGGCAAAGTCATCACCGCCGCGGGCAAAACCCACAACCTCCTCCGATGAGCCCCTTTCCGTTTCCTGTTTTGTGCAATTTTTTTACAATTGTGTTCACTGTTCTATTTTCTACAGGTTGATCGAAAAAAAACTCTCAAACGCGAAGGTGAGTCGGTAGAGTCGCCGCACCCAGAAAATCTCGCTGCTGTTAGGTTTTTATTTTTTGATTTTTTTTATCCGACTGAGACCCCTTAACGTGTTTTTTTGCAGAAATATGTATAAAGCCAGCCGAAACTGACCAAAACATACCAAAACGACCATATCGAGACAAATCGCCGCCACGGACGGTGGTGCCGTTGCTGGAGCACGACAGTACCGCCGTGCCAGAATCCCAAAATTAGTCAAAAATAATTTTTTTACACCGATTTTTGATTCCTAGGTTATTTTTAGGTACGTGACAAGTGTTTTGAATTCTGCAGGGATAATTCAGAAAACCCGAGGACCGCTAATAGGGCAATAAAAATTTTAGTGTTTCGGATACCAATTCGGGTAAGGATCCCTCACATTTTTTTCTGTTAAAGAAATTTGAAGCTTGATAATTAATAATTGTGTGTTTTTATTAAAAATTAGAGAACCCTAAAAATAATTACATGTTACTAGTGGAGCTGGAACTAGTTAATTCACAGTCATTTCAATTTCCTGTTTATTTTCCTATATTACCTATATTTGTTTACTATTATATTGTGCGTAACTCAATTATGGTTTTTATGGTCTTTTTGGTTATTTTGTTATTTGTTTCCCCTACATTGCGTACCAGTATTTTGGTCATTAGTTATTTGGCTGCGTTAAACTATATTATTGTTTAAGTGAATGGTGGGTAGAAAATGAGATATGGTTATTACATGGTTGATTGTTATGTCGATGGAAATCTGTATGTGAAAGACTTACTGGGTACCCAGAAAAGGGTAGACAGGCCCAGTACATAGGAAACTCTACCATGAATATTACCTC